CACCATCAATTTGTGTTGAGCGACCACACATTCTCCATGTATCACCTTACAGTCCACACAAGTTCGTTTATCTCTCCTTCTAGTAAGGACAAAGTCGATTTGACAAGAGTACTGGCCGCTACTACAGGTCACTAAATGGGACTCTCTTACAAAAGAAAGTGTTAGCTATCATCAGATCAAAAGCTATGACGAAGTCTAAGACTTCCTTTCCCTCCTGGTTCCTACTACCATATCCAAAACCCACATGAACCGCCTCAAAACCTGCACTTAATGTACCTACATGGCCATTAAGATCATCTCCTATAAAAAGCTTCTCGCTACTAGGGACAGCTCTAACCAAGTAATATAAGTCTTCCCAAAAAAGCCGCTTAGCACTCTCATCATGGCCTACTTGGGGGCATATGCACTAATTACGTTTAAGACCATATCGCTAATGACAAGTTTAACTAAGATGATCCTATCCCCTTGCCTTCTCACCTCCACCACGTCATCCTTGAGGCTCTTATCAATCAAAACTCCTACTCCATTTTTATTTGAAATTGTCCCTGTGTGCCAGAGCTTGAAGCCGGTATTATCCACCTCCTTCGCCTTCTGCCCCTTCCATTTAGTCTCTTGGATGCATAAGATATTTACACGCCTCCTAACCGTTGTGTCCACTAACTCTCTTAACTTACCCGTAAGGGACCCTACATTTCAGCTACCTAAATAGATCCTAGTTGGCTCAACTAGCTTCCTTACCCTTCGCACCCACCGGTGTAGGTGTGAAGACCCTTGCTCATTTTGCATCACACCCGGGCACCGATGTGGCGCGCCACTAAGGATGCGACGACCCGATCCTTGCTCACTTGACACCGTGCCCAGATCGCGACACGGCGCGTCACAGGGGTGACGACCCGGCCCTTGCTCATTTAGCACCATACCCGGGTTCCAACATGGCGCGTCGCTAAGAGGGTTACACCCCAACCGGATTCTTTTGGGTTTCATCTTCATAAAAGTGGCTAAGTTTTTTATATTGGCTCGCCACGCCTAACACAACCCTCCTCCTTTACCAGGACTTGGGACCTGCTATACTGGGACACCAAAGACGCCCCACCGTAGGCGGAGTTTGCTATTAGGCACAAATGCACGGGAGAAAAAATTGTCATGACACAATGCATTTGTCATGTTTTAAACAAACATTTGGTGATTTTCTTCTTGATATGTGCTCTTGGAAACACCTGGAAATCTAGCTATAGAAGGTTTGTAGCTGGAAGTAATAAGCATGGGCATTATACCTTTGAATGTCAGTTACTTAAAATGTGGCAGTAGAATATTCTAACTATGATCCCGGAGCACATGCTATGTGAAACGACAAAGAACCTAAATTTGTTACTTGCCCAGGTCCATCCTGGTTAGAGTTATGATCCTCCATCGAGTCTGAAGTGCTCAGATGGGGAACACGTTGTCGTGTTTCAAGAAAAAGGACGTCTGCTGCTTATTCCAGCAAGGAAACTTGGGATGCTAAGTAAAAGGGTTATGTGCAGTACAAGAGGTTAGATGTGGGTCGTCATGTAGCCATGTGGGTGAACACCCAGTGGCGGATTGAATTTGACTTCGAAAAATCTGAAGACTTTCACATAGGCTGTGAAACTAACAGAGTTTTTTTTTTAAGACGAGAAACTAACACTGTCGGCAGAGCTTAATGTAGTGGTAGGGGCCTGGGCAGCCGCGGTTGTACTTGATTGGCATGGGATCCATCCATATTAGGGTCCAATCAAACCTCGGGAAGGTTAGCTTTTGATAGCAAACGCATGTGCACACACGCATGGCAGCAAACTTTTTTAAAAGTCCTGCCTCCTCCTGGTCTGGACTTTCGAGGTCACTCATGTACGCCTTTCCATCTCATGGATCGGCCAGGCGCCCAGTGAGAAAACCAGAAAGCTGATCCTCTGTAATTAAGAGACAGCGGGACAATTAAGACGTCCTTTCTTCTTTCTTCTGAAGATCAATCATCGGTTGTGCTTGCAATAAAAAACCAAACACGCTGCAGTATAAGTACGTGCACATTGAAAATAAAAGATGCCTTGTTCTGTTTCCTTTTATTTTCCATTTTCATCCAAATTAAGGGCTTGTTTGGCATAGCTTCACCAACAGCTTCACAAGCTATTGTGAGCTATTTTTGTGTGTGCCAAATACCCTTTTTTAAAAATAGTTTTATGGTTGAAGCTGTTTTTTCTCTCATCTCACAGAGGGATGAGTTAAGGTGAAGCTGAAAAAAGTAGTTTTTCCATAGCTCTCTCCCCCATTTCTCTCTATTAAGTTGTTGGTGAAGCTATTTTGCTAAATAGTATTTTCAAAACAGTTCAGCTTCATCGAAAAAGCTACTTATGAAGCTGTTTTCACTATTAAAGCTGAGCTGTGCCAAACGGACTCTAAGATTAATGCACGAATAGAGACGTCATGGTAGCTGATATATGCGTGCATGCATGGTCTTGTGATAGTTGCCGCAACAAGAATTTGTTCTGCCATGCAGATTGGAAACAAGTGTGGGTAAAATATAGCGAGTCGTTGTGGAGTCCGCATCCGACTGCCAGTGCGCTCCAGACCACGGTACATGTGTCACTCTCTAACTTGTACACATGTCACAACTGGTAGAGACCCACTGCTACTACATGCATATGGTCGATGTATGTAGGTATAACATACTTGTCTCCTGCTACAACTTTAGTCCTAGTTAACACACGAATGCCTGCTAATATGGTGTACAACATATACTCCGATTCCCCGCTGTTGTAATACACGACAAATCCCTAATCTTGCTGTTGTCATGGCCTCGTCTTGCATGCATGGTAGCCACTAGCCACTCCGGACCTACTGCTTACATACGTGCCAGATTTCTCCCTCATCTTTGCTAATACTCTGTCGTTTTCTCTTGCTTGCAATGTACTAATGGTTAGTGATTCTTTAATTTATATGGATTGGATTGAACCTACCATGATGTGGCCGTGTCCAGCCTTAGAACTGAAACGGAATGGGGAGCAGGGATCCCATATGGAGAGAGCTGACCACGTGAATGCCAAGAAAACAATACAGACATCCATGTTGAATTGAACACTTCCAGTGCCAATTCCCTGCCCTGTTTCAATTTCATTCCAGGCCTAGATGAATAATCCTACCTAGCTAGTGCATGCATCGTTCGTTTTATAAGCTGTAACCCCTATATACATGTATTGCTAAAAAACTACTAGCATTAAGATCGAGTCAATTAGTACTTAGGGTCAATTAGTGCTAGACGGCTTTGGCGCGTCTGTACCTTAGGTATTGCAACTAGCTGTACTCTTCCTTCCCTAAGCTAATAAGGCCAGTCTCAATGCAGATTTCATGGGGGTTTCATGCACATTAAATAGAGTGCCACATCAGCAGAAATAGAGCTTCTGCATGTATCGAGGAGGAGAGAGAAGGGAAATGTTTCATGGGGACGAAACGAGTGAGCGTTATTTCCAAAATGTTGGAAACTGGATGAAACCCCCATTGAGAGCCTTCGTTCGTTTCATCCCGTGCACGACTTCTTCCTTCGACCGTGGGTGAGGCCGCCACCGCCGGGCGTGGACGAAGCCGCCGCTGCCGGAGGGAAAGGCAGCCGGGAGGCCGCTGCCGGAGGGGAAGATGAGCTCCACCAGCTGCAGGAGGCCGCTGCTGGAGGGGAAGACGAGCTCCGCCGGCCGCGGGCGCGAGCTCCGCCGGGAGGGGAAGGCGGCGCGGGAGGCCGCTGCTGGAGGGGAAGACGAGCTCCGCTGGCCGCCGTCGCATAGGCGATTCCGGCCACGATAGGCGACGTGAGCGGGTCAGAGAGGACCGCAAGAGAGGGGCGGAGCTGTGTGAGCGAGCTATTGGACGGGGAGGCAGAGGCCACGGCGAATTTCGCAGGTGAGCAGAACCTTGCCAGCGGTGGGGAAGAGAGGGAAAAGAGAGAGACGCCGGTGGGACCCACGAAAGGCTAAAATAACCCTACGAAACTGTGCAATGAAACTATGCACTGAGAGAGAGACCCGTTTCATGTTAAATTTCACGTCTTGAAAATTGGGAGGTGAAACCTTCCACTGAAACTGGCCTAAGGTGAACAGACCGAATGCGCTTGTGGCGCTAATGTCCACCATCACCCATAGTCAAATAATCCTGCTCTCTAGAGCTAGCTAGGTGTGGGCAGTGTGCTAGGACACACAGCAGCCGGCCACTGCCCTTGGTCCGCTGTAATAGTAGTCAACTCATTTCTCAAGATATTTACCTATCGTAATGCATGTGACTATGTGAGCCATTAACATGGAACATGGTTTAATTTGTCATCACTGACAATAAACAAGGCAGTCTTGGTCTGTCAGAGTTTGAGGTCTCAAGTGGTGCTTACATGCACTTCCATATTTCTGTCTAGCTCCGGCCAGCTACGGGTGCCTATCGCCGACTGCTGTAGCAAGTGAAAACGGAGGTAGAAATTCCATGCCACAACTGTACCGCTTAGGAGACGTCCATGAACCATGAACGCGTAGACTACGTTTAGCTTTCTTTCTTGTTTCTAGTTAATTATAAGGAGATAAAGACTTTCAGCTGCGACCAACAAACCTTGTTGATCGTGGCTGCTAAATACAGACAAAGAAACCATACACACTGTACTGGTACAGAACTACACGGCCATAACATGCTTGCTGTGCCTGTGATCCAGCTGGAAGGAAGGTCATTAGCTGATAGGTCAGCATGACAATAGAGTACTAAACACAAATCTCTATTCTATCATGTTTGTCCTGACCTGATACTCTGCTAGTTAATGCGAACTATCTGATCTCTCCCATCTCAAGACCTATCATTTCCGACCTATCATCAGTTCTTCTAACCTACTCTGTTCCTTCCTCTAGCCTGCCTGGCTCTATAAAAGAGGAGGCTCTGCACCCGGCAGTCTCCCCCCTTGCCTTTGCAACCATCCTGTCTTCACTGCTCGCTCTAAACCCCTGTGACCGAGGAACCAGAACATGGCCGGCAGCGGAAGCGGGAGTGGGAGCAGCAGCAGCAGCAGCCCGCCGTGCGCCTCGTGCAAGCTGCTGCGACGGCGGTGCACGCAGGAGTGTGTGTTCGCGCCCTACTTCCCTCCCGAGGACCCTCACAAGTTCGCCATCGTCCACAAGGTCTTCGGCGCCAGCAATGTCAGCAAGATGCTGCAGGTCCGTTCAATTCTCCTCCTTGAGCTACTGTCATCCATGGATCATTCAGCTAGCTTGCTTATCAGGCTAACGTAAACTGCATCTACTGTTGATTCCATTTCCAGGAGCTGCCTGCTCAGCAGAGAGCGGACGCTGTGAGCAGCCTGGTGTACGAGGCGAACGCGCGCATGAGGGACCCTGTGTACGGCTGCGTCGGCACCATCTCCTTCCTCCAGCAGCAGGTCTCCCAGCTCCAGGTGCAGCTCGCCCTCGCCAAGGCCGAGATCCTCTGCGTCCAGATGCAGCACGACGACGGCCATGCGCATTCAGCTTCAGCTGCTGCTGTGCCATCTCCGGCAAAGCAACAACTCCATCACCAGCAGCAGCAGCAGGAGATGGAATGCGAGGCTTATGGCAGCCTGCTTGTGCAGAATGGCCTGATGATGAACACGTTGAACGGCACTGGAGCAGCTCATCAGCAGCAGATGCTGGGCAGCTTCGGCTCTGCAGGGAACACTGCAATGATGCTGCAGGAGGCGTGCCTCAAGAAAGAGACCCTCTGGGCATGAATGAGTGAATTATGTACTTCCATTTGTCGATAAGAAAAAAAAACTTCTTGTCTCTTTCGCTGTCCGCCGCTGTAATTTTCCCGAAAGATGGGAAATTATTAAGAGATGAGTTAATCGGGTCACATGAGCATCACAATCTCAGGCTCTCAGCATTTCTACTTAAAAACTAAGAATAAGATCTTTCGGAAAAAATAAAAATAGAAACTAAGAATCAAGACGAAGCTAGCTGAGGGATCTTGATGTGTGAAGAAGAGTTTTTGCACGAGCCAGTGAAGTTTCAGAGGTTCGCCTTTTGGTAGACTTGGGAGTTGAGAGTCAGCTATTTTGGACGCGTTTGGATTCACATGGTCTGCACAGTAGGATTGTTCGTGGACAACTGGACACTAAGCATGACAAATACTTTTTTTGTCCCACCGCGCTGGATCGGAGTTGTATATTTGAGTGCTGCTAAATCCCAATTGGAAGACCTGACCTAACAGATTCCTAAGCTTTCGGCATAGGACGTGTGTCCATCTGCTGGGCTGCACATCTATCTGTGCAGATGTTAGTTGTGCGCCCCGTGTCATCAACAAACTGACAAAGCAAAAACCTAATTCGTTTCTTTTTGTTCAAAAAAGAATTGAGTACCCCTCTAGTTTCCTAAAAAAAAAAAGAATTGAGTTCCAAGCATGGCTTTGGTGGATCTACTGGGAATGATTCGTAGCTATCCAAGTATCCTATGACAAAAAAGTAAACAAACAAGTCAACTCTAGATTCTGTTCGCGGACAGAGCATTGGCCGTATGCCCTTACCTGATGCATGATGACTGATGTCCTGATCTTGATCAGAGATTGGCACTCGGTGACGCTAGAACTAACTGCCGCCTGCCTGAATCGCAGTTGATTGGGGGGGGACTTCTTTTCATGCAAGCCATCCAAATCATCCCCCACTAGCTATCCACATCATCTCCTACTAATAGCCATGTCATCTTACTATTTTCAACCTCTTAATGCAAGCTATCCACATCATGCTCACTTAATTTAATTTCAAAATCCTTGTAGCAACGCGTGGAGTATCTTCTAGCTATCCAAGTATCCTATGACAAAAGGTAAACAAACAGGTTGACTCAAGATTCTGTTTGCAGATAGAGCATTGCCCTTAATTATGCCCTTACCTGATGTGTGATGACTAATGTCCTGATCTTGATCAGAGATTGGCACTCGGTGATGCTAGAACTAACTGATGCCTAGCTAAATCGCGGTTGATTGGAGAGACTTCATTTTTGTTAAGTTCATGGTAGAGTGATTTAGGGATGAGAGTTGTTGAAACTAGTTGTTATTTTTCCAAATTTTACTCACGTCTATTTGCTTGGAAGGTTCTATGTCAAGGACACTTTAATAATATACTGTGATATTTTTTTGGAGTATTAGAGCCCTTTTGGGGTTCGCTCGCTTTTTGTTACAATACACATGTGATGAGCTCGGGCTGAACTTAATTTATTTAAAATTAGTTGTAAAAGGTTATTAATTTAGATGCAAGTTTAGAGGGGTTATTTTAAATTATCTTTAATAATGGCGTATGTGGATAATTTAGATGTAAATTTATAGGGTTGCACAGCTCTCCTGCGTTTTCGAGAAAAAAAATGTTATTTTTTAGTTTTCAGAATAGTAGAGATATGTAACTTTTTAGAAAACAGAGTGAATTCAACTGAGCCAAGTATGCGTGTGATGTTGCGAAACTGTGGCATGTGTATGGCCCCAAACACAAATCTGCAGGTGTCGCTGCTTCAGGAAACCGCTGAAACTGAAAAGGCAAAAGCTCTCAGATAACCATCACAGGGCTACCAAAATATATTCGTCCATGGAGTTCCATTCTATTCAGTACCGACTCAATTACAAGTCGAGAAACAACACAAACAACTACACATTTTACACTCTTCCCACATTCATGAACAAAGGGGAGGAGACCTTCACAATGTTCACTGCTGTCAGTTCAAGCTAAGCAAGAGCTAGCCTTCTAAGTTTTAGCTAATATCATTTCAGTTTATTGTTTAAACTTATAATAAAGAGAGACCTACAAAGTTAAATTTATATTAAAGCAGACAAGCATTGCTAGTATATGATAGCCGCTTCCTGCACTCATCTCTTTGAGAGAGTGTATATAACATACATGTCCCCAAAACCAACAAGGGATGAAATGTGAAGAAATTGCTCAAGGAAACTCCCAGATCGATAGAATTGCATATAAATTATAGAATTTTTTTTTGCAAACTAAAAGTAGGCACGGCGGCGACGGCCGGTGCTACAACAGAGAGAAGTCAGCAGGGCCGCGGCGGCCGGCAGCAACTAGCACTATAGAGACGGCGCAGACGGTGCTGAGGGTCAGTTGGACCAGTACGCGGGTACATATTGTTAATGTCGTATAGTCATCGTCCTGCTAGAGCCTCATTAACAATATGCACCCAAATACTGTCCAACTGGCATCCATAGCACGATATATGACCGTCAGAGTGTGGGAGCAGTAGTTCATCTCAAAGCAGCTACGATCGAGCAATCACTAGTATATATAGTTTCCACTGCACGCACCGGCCAGAGAGGCAGGCAGGATGGCGCATGCATGGCAAAAGCAACTTCGGCGCGTCCACCTTTCTGCTAGAGAGTAGGGGTACACGTCTAGTGCATGCTGCTGCAGGCAGACCGGCCGGCCATGCATGTGCTCCTGTTGCATCGGTGATCTTTCTGGCTCGTGTCTGATCAGGGAGATTGCATTGGTGCTCTCTGTCAGTATAGGCAGTTACAAAGACAGAGAACAATTGGGGAATCAGTCGCATCTCTTGCCAATTGATTTGAACCCCGCCCGTAGTCGCCCAACAACAGCTTAGCCTTCCTTGTAGATAGCTTCCACCTGATAAATCACCAAAACACCAACGCTTAATTTGTCATGACACTACAGATTTGACAATTGTACACAAAAAAAGGGAACAGATTTTTAAGAAATCCAAGACTTCATGTTCAGACAGAATGCTCTAGACATTGATATCATAATAACAAATGACATATGTAGGAGAGACAGGAGAAAGCAAAACGATGAAATAAGTTTTTATTAATAAGGAACCCAAGAATCTGTGTTCATCTAAAATGCAGTACACACTTTGATGCTGAGACTGGTATGACAAGAAACAGTATATGCAGTTGACGCTGAGCAGGCAAACCCTAACATGTTACAAGTATACACTACTACAAAATTGATTTGCAGCAAGGGGACCTATTTTGAGCAGAGATGGCTCAATCAGGGAGCCGCCTCTACAGTGTCCTGTGAACCAAGCCATCTCTACATGGGCATTTGTAGAGGCAGCTTGGTTCTTAATTTAAAGGCGGTTGGCTTTACCAGCCGTCTCTGAAAATGATTCTATTTTCAAAGGTGGTTGGTGACGTCAGCCGCCTCTGAAGAACCATTTTGTAGAGGCGGCTAACTTCGGAGGTAAAGATAATGGTCACTGTTCTTCTTCTTTGTCTGACTCCGGTTGTGACTTGAGAGCTGCAGAATTTCGTGTCACTAGCTAGATGTGTCATTCATAGCCGAGGGTGATTTAGAGAGGAGAATCACAGAGAATTCAAGGTATGGAGAGCATCATACCTCGCCATACTGAGCTCTGTCCCTGTTTACCTGGTCTACATGGTAGCATATAGTTTTAATACTTACTTTTAATTCAACTATGGGCCATGGTAGAAGTGTGTAATTAGTTGAAACATATAAAGCAAACTTTATGGTTGTTGAATTATTTACCATCACTACTAGAAAACAGACATTTCATCCCGCCTCTATTTTTGCCTTTAGTCCCGGTATTTTTTGTGTTCGGGACTAAAGAGACTATTAGTCCCGGTTGTATCCTCAAACAAGGATACAAAGTTCCTACCCCAAGTGTGTGGCGACGACATGCAACAATTAGTCCCGGTTATAGCCCAGAGCCGGGACTAAAGGGCTGGACCCTCCAACCGGGAATAAATCTTTACTCCCGGCTTGAGGCTCCAGCCGGGACTAAAGGCCGGGATAAAATATTTCTTGATAAAATAATATAGTCGCGTTGGACAAAAAAATAGAGCAGCCAGGTATTGAACCCACGACCTCATAGCCAAGGTCCAAACTACAGCGCACTAGCTAGCCATCTGAACTAAGTCACTTTCTCAACAAGAAAGCACACAAACATTTATTTAATAAGTGAAAAGGCCCTTTAATTGATTATATTCTTTTATTAACTATACTTTGAATTTTCTGGTCCATGTGCTTTCTAGTGCCTGATTGATCTCATAATTTTTATCAGGGTTTCAAATGCCCAGTGTGAAGCCACCACCAAGTTCGAGATTTTTCTGAATTGGTTTGGTAATTTTTTCACTTTAATTGAATTTCCACGCGACTTCACCGATTAATTATATGTTGAACTGAGTCCACCCCCGAAAAGATCTGGAATGGTGCCAAACTTTGCCAAATGGCCTCTTGTGCCCTAGGAGACAAATATTTGTGGAGGTTGATGCAAAATTATATTGTTTTCAATATGTAATTCACCGTATTTCGTCTCACGCGGCACAAAGAAAAATGTAATAATAAAAATAATTATTAGAAAAATCTAAGATCTTGTGTGGGGCCATATTTTGGGTGTAAATGACTTCAAAAAAAAATTTCAGTCATTTTGACATAGGAGGAGTCGGCGTGCTTCACAGAGGTATATAGAACCTTTTGTCGAACCCTATCTATACACCTAGGTTCTCTGGGGTTATGAGGTCCATGTGCTTTCTAGTGCCGGATTGGGCTGAAACTTTTTCTCAAGACTTCAAATGCCTTATGTGTAGCCACCACCAAGTTTGAGATTTTTCTGAGGTGGTTTTGTACTTTTTTCACTTTAATTGAATTTTCGCGTGAATTCACCGATTAATTATACATTGAACCGGGTTCACCCCCTAAATGATCCAGAATGGTGCCAAACTTTGCCAAATGGTCTATTGTGCCCTAGGAGATAAATATTT